AGTAGAAGTCGCTCCAACAGTCGAAGACGTCGCTCCAACAGTAGAAGACACTCCAACAGTCGAAGACGTCGCTCCAACAGTAGAAGTCGCTCCAAAAGTCGAAGTCGCTCCAACAGTCGAAGTCGGTCCAACAGTCGAAGTTGGTACAACAGTCGAAGTCGGTACAACAGTCGAAGTCGGTACAACAGTCGAAGTCGCTCCAACAGAACAGTCGAAGTCGCTCCAACAGAACAGTCGAAGTCGCCACTCCGACAGTCGAAGTCGCTCCGACAGTCGAAGTCGCTCCGACAGTCAAAGTCGCTCCGACAGTCGAAGTCGCCGCTCCGACAGTCGAAGTCGCCGCTCCAACAGTCGAAGTCGCTCCGACAGTCGAAGTTGCTCTAACAGTTGCAGTCCAGTGAGATACCAACTTTAAGTGTGCATGTTCACCTGTTGCTGCTGTTCCCAACTTTTACTTTAACATTTTAACCATTTTTGTTACTCTTTTACTCTAAAAGTTTTATGAACAACCTTTTTCTCCCTAGAAAATGTTCAAAGTAAAATAAATTGAATTAACCTTCAAATATATTCAGCTGATGTATGAAATGTGTAAAATAATTTCATTATTCTCTTCGTTGTCTTTATTATCTCCACAGTTTGACCCGTCGGTGACCTCCTGTTGACCTGGTGTAATTTAAATCTGAATCCTCCGAGCAGCAACTTAACCTCACTCCTCTTTCCTCTCCTTTCTCCTGCATCATTCCTCATTTTTATCCAGGCTGCTAGTGTTTGCCTTATAATTGACTTCTTTATGCATCCCATGACTTGTGAGCCTGGTTAGCGTCTGATTAGCATATCCACTTGAACTACGGGTCAAGCAGTTCTGCCTTGCTTTCAGTTTTCATATTTTTCAAACCTCATTCGTTTTCCTTCTTTCTTTCTTCTCATCTTCGTCCTTCTCAGGTCTCTACCTACATTTATGTTGCTTAATCGTCTTTTTTCTCCCGCCTCTGAAGGATTTCTATCCTCTCTGTGTTGGAGGAGTTCTCCGTTAGCCGAGGTTAGCCTCTGATTAACGTCACCAACTGACCTTCCACGCCCCGGCTGACTCTAAACCTTTTTATCGGACTTGGAATAGATGCCATATTGTCTCGGTTATAAAAGTGAGATTTTTTTTTTTTTTTTTACCAGCAGTTAAATTTCATGTGAATAAAGTTTCATGTTTTCTTCTGTTGGATTCTGTATTTTATATGTTTGAGAAGAAAGAAGTCTCGAACTGCAACGATCTGATAAATGCTGTCATATTGACTACAAGGAAGGAAATGTAAAGTAACGAGGTGAAACTTTAAAATAAGGAAAGAAAACAAACCTCTTTTATTTAAGGCAACAACTTTTGACCAGGTCTCGTTCTCCAGCTTTAAGCAGAAGTTTACCTAATTACGATAACACCCGACATACTTGGGTATTTATTTTATTTTATTTTCACCTGCTGCAAATAAAAGTCGTCTCTGCCTGGGTGTGTGTTTGTTTGCTACACTGTTAGCAAAATATCTCACCATGCACTGACTGAGTTTTAACAAAGCTTTCTGAAAGTAATCATTCTACAACTAAACAATTAAAATGTAGATGAATAAACAAAACATCTGGAACAGTTTAAAGCTTAAAACTCTAACTTCCTGTTTGGATCTGAGGAAGCAAAGTGTCTTTAACAACAGAATAAAACTGATGCTGCTTTGGTTTATTTATTTTACATTTGCACATCCTGAATGACTGAGAACCTCAACCAGATACAACTTCATCAGTGTTTCCAGATAGACTTTAATCTTTTATATTTATTTATATATATATATATATATATATATATATATATATATATACACACACATATATATATATATGTGTATATATATATATATATATATATACACAAACATACATATATATGATAGTTGTAGGGCCTTTAGGATGAGTAGTTAAAAAAAAAAAAAGAGTCCAATATATGATCGGTTTGAGATTCCCGTGCACCTAAAACAAACAAACAAACAAAAACTTCTTATCTTTGTTCTTCTTTTGCTGATTTCTGCTGATTTTCTCTGGAAAATGATCGTCCAGGTTTGTTTATCAGACGTTGTCTTTAGTTTCATTAAAGTAGGTATGAATACAACATTTTTTTTTAAATCTAAAGTCTCTTCAGAACTAAAAGTTGAGAAATATAAAAATTAAATGTATCCGTTCTTTACAGATTAGGCTTCATTCACATCGGCAGTTGGTTTCTATTGGAAATCTACGCACGAGTCTGTCTCGGCAGCAGCTTTAGTCATTAAACGAGCAAAAGAAACAAAAGTAAAAATTAAACACTCTTTTTGCACTTTAGAGAGAAAAGACAATCCCTTGGAACCCGTAGAAAATCTGCCTGTAGCTAAAAAAGATCCTGTTTGTCCTTCAGCATGATCGATCAGTCTGCGGAGCTACAACTCCATAAATACGACCTTCATAAATTAATTATTTGAATAAAACCTCACCTGAATCTTAACCACAAAACACCGACTTCATTTTACAAAAGAACATCGAAACAATCCTAAAGCACTGAAACCAGAGTTAAAATACAACATTTTGCTTTAAAAGAAGATGAATCTCCTCAAGTAACAGACGTGTAGTGAACTTCAGGAGAACTGTTCTGGACTCCCAGGAGGTCTTTTGTTTGTTTGTTTGTTTGTTTGTTTGTTTGTTTAATGAAAAACTAGTCGGTCATTTAGAGCTATCTCAGTCTAAATTAAATGTAACAAACCCAAATGATTTAAAAATAACTAACCGGTGTGGGCACAGCTTACCCATATTCTGCTAACTAAATAATTAGCTTTGCTAACACTAAACCGTTAAAAAGTTAAACAAAATAAAAACAATCAGTCGAAGCTCATGCTAACGGTGAGACGACAGTCATTCAGTCTGTGCTACACGTCTTCATCTAGCTAGCTGCTGGTGCTGCTGGTGCTGCTGGTGCTGCTGGTCGACCGATCACGTCTTGTCACGTGTGCACGTGTCAATCGGACTCTTCGAGACACGCCCACAACAGACAGGATCAAACTTATATATATTTTTTTAGCGGACCTAAAGTTGACAAAAGCTAATTTATCTGAAGCTAATTGTTCCACAAACAGTTCACAAAGGAAGTGACAACACTTCCACCAACTAACTAACTATCTAACTACTGTATCTAACTATCTAACTATCTAACTATCTATCTAAACTAATAAATAAGTCTTCAGGGGCTTTCATGTAAAAAAATAAATAAATAAAATAATAATTTCACCTCTTCTTAAATGACAAATATTTATTTTATGGAAATTTTTGATAATGAAAAAGGCATGCCCCCCCCCCCCCCAATGCATGTTAATTAAACTTACACGTGTGATTTGGTGGTTCCACATTTAAAATTATATATTTATAATTATATAATTATATATAATAAAATTATATTGTTTCACGTTATGTAGGATTTTAATTTAGAGGTTTTCTGTTAGAAGCTTTTTTTTTTTTATTAATTTTTCTGTCTATTGTTCACATGAAGTTAACGCACAAAACAAAAATAAAAACAAACATGAGTCACAGCAAATCAAAGTGTGTAAGCGGTACGATGAAGAGGAGGATGTGAGGACTGATGGAGAGAAGAAGGGAAAGCAGAGAAAGGCAGCTGCTGATGGTGGCAGGCCAGTGTTGGTGTTAAACACGTGCACGTCCTTCAGTGAAAACTGTTCACACCGTTAAACTCGTGCTCGTTTCACCTGTTCAGGTTCAGAGGATTAAACGTTTCCAGGTTTAAAACGTTACATGAACTTTGTGTTGCCTGAAGAACATTAAAGTTTTATTCTTTAGTCTTTTGAGTTTTCTGTTTGTTGATAAAAACTGAACTCCACGTACATTTTTATTGACTAAACCTTAAAATATTTAACATTTTAGTTGAGCTCTGCTTCATCTTGAGCTAAATGTCTTACTTCCTGTTTAATCCAGAGGTAAAGCTGAGCACCTGTAACCGTGACACTCACATTTCTACCTGCTCATGATCTACGAGGACACAAATAAATAATTCTACTCCACAAATAGATTTAAGCAAACATGAAAAAAGTTTAATAAGATAAACTTCTTCATTATTCTTGGTAGCCTCCATTAGACAAACGTGTTTCTCCAAATTTACTAACTTAAGAAACAAAGGAGGTCAAACAAACGCAGTCCAGTCAAATAGTCCGGAAACAATAATTTTTGAAAACCAGCTCATTTCTTGAACTGGTTTTAAAATGTTTACACACAAAGAAAAACAATAAAGTAAAATTTGATCCTCAGTGACTAAAACTAATCTGTGATGCGAGTTCAAAAAGATTTAAAACTTCAGCTTCTAAAATTTACAGCTTTTAACAAAACAGCCTATAATCAGTAAAGTATGACGATGGTAAGATACTAAAATAATAATTCAGAATAAAAATAAACTTTCAAAATTAATATTTTTTTTATCTGCTCACATAATCCTGACCTGACCTTTATTTATGCAATAAACCAAATATTAAAATATTTTGGGGGTTTGAAACTTTTGAAATTAGAAACGGGCCCATGTCTCGATCGGTAAAAGTGACGTTAACGGAGAAAAAACAAAACTTGCTTTTGTGAACATTGTAGAAAATCCAGCCAGCTGTTCTGGCAGATGTGAATCTTCTGGCTCGTTTCTCCGTTTGAAACTTCTTGAACAGAAAGACCTATTTGACTGGAGCGCTATCGATGCCTGACGCCCAACAGTTGGCTACAAATGGATTTATTGGGACAGAGACGACCAAACGTTCTCGCCCGAGGCTAACGGTAGCATCTTAACGAACTTTGACCTGGAAGCGTTTGTCTTGTTGTGTACCTGCGTTTGAAGGTGAGGATGACTCCGAGGAGGATGATGATGAACATGAGAATCCCCGCAATCACTCCGGCCATTTTCACCGTGCTGTCCACCTGCTTCTCTGGCTCCATGGCGTCTGAGTCTTGCGTGGACGCACCTGAACACACACACATGTATGCAAACGAACACACACACATAAAGAAAGCCTCATCAGTGGGCGACACTGAGCCGTCAGTCACAAAAATAATCACGTGTCCAAACACACCAAGCAAAAACACATTGAGCAGTAATTTACACACACACTTCGTCTTCAGGTACAAACACACATTAGTGACTGGAAGGGAAACAACGCCGTTAGTCGCAACGTGAGGGAGGTGGACGCACTTCATCCGCTCACACAAGTCAAAAACAAGTGGAACAGACGATGCAGGGAGGAGAGAGGAACATGCAAACAACATGTGATGAGGCGTCGCTCCAACAAGAAGGGAGGAGTTTTCTTCAAAAATGAAGTTTTAAGGAAAATATTACCTTTGATTTTAGCACGGAGTGTGAGAAACATGAGAAACAGAACAAAACAACCTTAAAAACAACAAATTAACCGTTATTTACTGAAACTTCCTGTTCCCCGTGAAGCTCGATGAATCATTTACGGCTCTTGAAAAGTGATTTGTTTGATGTATATGTACTTGGCTTCAAACAAAAAGTCAAATAAAAAATAAATAAAAATCCTAAGAAATGCTGTGAAGAGAACTGTTGGTCCTTTAAAAGAGATTTTTATTCTCATCATTCGTGATTCGTTTGGTTTGAGTGTGAGCGTCTCGTCAACCATGGAGCAGAGGAACCAAAGAGCTGCCGAGGAGCTCAGATTATAGATATCCATGGTGAATAATCCAAGTCCACCTCCAAGCAGCTCCTCTGACCACAGCCGAAAAGATTATTCAAAGCAGAAGCTTCATGGGACTGTAGCAGATCTTTCAGGATGTGGCTGCAAGAGCGAATGCGACCCCAGGTCGATTTGGATGAAGAATAAAAGGAAACTGGAGCTTTTGAACGGATCGTAGAAATCTGGATGAACGTGGAGAATCTTTAGGTTGAGCCTCCAAAGATCAGAATACTCGAATGGGTTCGATCGTTTTCTCTGTTAAAACTTGTCAGCTGTCGTTGTGCAGCGCTGCGGAGAACGTTACGATGCTCAGCGAGGCTGCGGCCTTAAAGGAGTTTTAATGAGGAGGGAAACTTGGACTGCATCAAGGTTTAGGTGGGTTCTTGGTCTCCAAACACCATCTGTCCGTCCCAGCGGCTTTAAAACCAAACCTTGCCCACAGCACTGCGCTGCCCCCGGGTTTTAAAACGCTTCCTCAGTTTTCAACACGGGCTAGGAAAAATAAAAACTGAAGCTCTCCAAGAAAATAAAATCTGTCTGCTGCACAGTTTTTGTTGCACGATGTCTGCAGCTTGACACGAGGCGCTAACTGTAAAATATAAAAATGTTGTCATATCAGCCATAACTCTGCGCTCGCCGAGTTTTACAGAAACGTTTAGGACGACTGAACATATCCAGACCAGAAACAGAGAGGAAACCTGTCTGACAAGCCGAGAACATCAGAAGCATGTCCAGCTGCTCTGCTGGACTGAAGAGAACAGGCGGCGTCTTCAGGAAGACGACCGAAGGCCCGTCCGAGGCATAAACCCAGAAACTGGTCCGACAAGAGACACTGAAGAGCGACAGGTGAGGAAGACAGGTTCCAACACGAGAACCAGTGAACACCTACAACTCACAGGAGAGAGTCATGTGACCGCGCAGCTCGTTTCTGCACACTCCGGCTCTAACCTTGATAGACAAAGAGACGATTAATAGAGTAATGCAGCTGTGTGGGAGTTCAGCTAATCCCTTGTCGCTCTCATCTTCGCCTCCTCTGCAATAACAACACAAGGTTGGCAGCAAAATCGCACCGAGCTAACGGCTTAAGCACCTAACCTTGGCACGCTCGGTAATAGCTGCTGCGGTCCTCAATGGCTGCGCTGACGAGATGTTCTTAAAAAAAAAGAACCTGAATGCCCCCAATGACGGAGCATTCACCGTGTTTGTAGCTCGACCACAAACGACCTCCTCAGCTTAGATGATGAAAAAATACATATGAACAGAACACACGTGTCACTTTTTATTCCATGCTTCAGTGCTGAAGAAGAAATCCCACTTCACCTCGCGTGTCTTCACATCTCTACAAACAAACTTTGGATTAGAGGCGTTCTGAACAAAGGAGCGTCTGATTTTATGAACAAAACAACTCGAAGTTGTCAACGCAAGGACGAGAATCTGAACTGGTGTCGAGGGGTTCAGAGCAAACAAAGCTTCTTTAGAAAACAGCAAAACACCCTGAACCTGCCCGGGTTTTATTATTAGGTCTGATAAATCACACCCGACTTGAATAAACAGAATCTGAAAGATTATGTTGAAAAGACAACGTGTTTAATCCCTGGAGGATTAAATTTGTATTCGGCTGCTCGTTCTTCAGGGGTCACCACAGCGAATGGTTTTTACACCAGAGGTCCTTCCAGACAATCACAGACACCGAGCTACCACAGCCTCTGTGTGGAGCCCAGAGCTGCCATCTCTGGCACCCAGGGGAGCAGATGGTGGGGGTTCAGGGCCTTGCTCAAGGGCTCAGAGTAGGGAAAATGAGGGTGGGGGCAGGTGTGGGGGCTTTACCTTTCTCACCCACATTTTGATGTTGTTGGCCTGGGGAGTTGAACCGGAGACTTTCAGATCATAGGTCCACCTTCTCTAGCCTCTGCGCCACCACTACCCCCCCCTTTCAAAAATAAATAAATAAATTATATATATATATATATATATATATATATTAGATAATTAGAGCAAGGCTAATTTTTAAAACTTGGCTAACGATTCTCTCCAAACATATTTGATTTTCTCAGTTATTAATCATATTTAATCTTTTCAATCGGAGGGGGGCGGGGGCACGAGATCCAACTGAAGTGTCAACATTTCTCGTTTAGCTGAAAACCCAAACAGATGTTCCGTGACAGTCTGATGATGTTAATATAGATTCCGCTTTAAATCAGTTCAAACAAACTGGCGGGCACTAGGACCATGGTTCACTCAAGTGAGCAGCTTCCACTGATCAGCTGCAGCCTCTGTAGCTACGTGCTGAGAGGAAGAGTCTGCTGTGCATTAATCTGAAAGAACAGACCTAAAACTGAGTTCTCAGGGAGTTTCTCAACTTTAATGTTGAGAAAATAAAATTAGGTACTTTCATTATTCCGAGTTGATAGGAGGAAATTTGATCAACCTTTAAAATGGAGGGGATTTTCTTTTAAAGACTGAACAGTTTCTGAGAGCCCCCCCCCCCCCCCTCGTTCTCCATACTAGTCCCATCTCTGCGTTCATCAGTGTGAGCAACATTGTTTGATCTACAACATTTACAGAGTTTCATTTTGGCGCATTAAAAGTTTGATGGCAACGAGATAAATGTGAACAATGCAGAAAAAACAAACTCTTTATTTTGTGTTTTCACAGCAGAAACTTTAGGGGACGTGTTTAAAAGGAGCTGCAGAAAATCAGTTTTTAGAAATAATCAGAGCGGTGTGGATGGGGTCTTAATGATTTAAATTGTGTTCATTCAGAAACTACATCTCCATTTTAACTGCTACATAATATCTGTGTAACTCTGAATGCATCATTCAGACATGAACTATATGATCCTTAAGAACCATTAAAACCTTTAGTGTCTCAGTTTGAGCAGAATCCTCTCTGGGTTCTAAATATTTCATTAGTCACTTTCAGCTGATTCACTCGTTCACAGTTTAAAGAAATGACTGACACGGTGTCCTCGTTTTAATCAGAGGTGAACAGAAGCTGAAACGTGTCTTGTCGTGCGCATTACACCGGGGCCTTGGGCAATCATGCAAGAGACGAGTCCACACATTACCCTGTTAGTCCGTGCCCCGGTGATCACCTCACAGGTGTATTAAACCCCCATTTCCCCCTGAGTGAGCCACGGTGTGTATCACCTGGCACATTTCACTGCGACCCCCATTTGTTCACACTTGGCTGGCTCACGTGTTGATTGGGTTCAACAGTTCATGATGTAATGGAGGAGGAACCATCTGCCGGCAGGTTCGGCTCCATTTGACATCACAATTGATTGGGTCGGGAGCCGCTCAGCCAATCGGGTGAACTCTGTCGGCGTTTTCTGACCAACACAGAGGAGAATAATACAACCGTGCCCATTACGAGAGAGGGGAGCCTGAGCGGAAGTAAATTAAAGCAGAATGGGATTGATTCTCAAACGGAGCAGAGACGGTTGACAGGCTGCTCTGGACTCATTTCTAGTTGGATTGTCTCGGAGAGCGAACGGGTGGTCCGTTACACCGTGCGCATGCATCTGCTGCTACTGCCACCAGCTTGGACACGTCTGATTAAGGCAGTGTTTTTGGCACACTAAAATAAGAACAATTATTTAAACATAAAGACGTCTCCAGCTCTCACTGGAGCGGTTCACAGGCGAGTGTGAAGCAGCTGGGATGAGAACCAGCACCTCCAGATCTGAGGCCGTGGTCCTCAGTCAGAAAAGGGTGGCTTGTTCTCTTCAGGTTGAGGGTGAGGTTCTGCGTCAAGTGGAAGAGTTCGAGTATCTCGGGGTTTTGTTCACAGTGAGAGAAGAATAGAGCGTGAGATTGACAGGTTGGTGCGGCGTCTGCAGTATTGTGGACTCTGTGCCGGTCCATTGTGGTGAAGAGGGAGTTGAGCTGTAAGACAAAGCTCTCTGTTTACCAGTCGATCTATGTTCCTCCCCTCATGAACTCTGGTAGAGACTGAAAGAATGAGATCGTGGATCCAGGAGGTTGAAATGAGTTTCCTCTGCAGGGTAGCTGGACTCTCCCTTAGAGACAGGCTGAGAAGTTCAGTTATCAGGAGAGACTCAGAGTAGAACCTCTGCTCCTCCACATTGAGAGGAACCAGTTGAGGTGGTTCAGGCATGTCCGACTGGGAGGAGACCCAGGACACGCTGGAGAGACTACATCTCTCAGTTGGTCTGGGAACACCTCGGGGTCCTCCCAGAAGAGCTGGAAGAGGCTGTGGAGAGAGATGTCTAGACCTTCCTGCTCAAGATGCTGCCCCAAGACCTGAGTCCA